TGTTGAAACTGATCAGTTTCAGCAGCGGCTGAATCTGCATGCCAGTTCCGACTTACATACAGATTCAACTTAAGAACAAACCTACAGTCCCTATCTTGTACGTAACCCGGGGACTGCCTGTATTTCAAATGAATAATAGTTCTATTTCTTTGGAAGACATTTGATCATGTGTAAAAATAATCCCAACCAGGAAAACTCTATTAATAGTTGTTTAAAATAAGTTGACTTGTTTAGTTCAACTCAACATTGACTTCAACAGTAATTGAAAAAGTGAAAAAAAAATTATCCTGAAGTTATTTTCTCTTTACAACCTATTAACTCAGCAGTGAGCAATCACTTGTTCTTCCACATCTTAATTATGTTTATCATCTCTGGCATTTATTGTTTACTACAGGTTGGATTTTCCAGTCTGGCCCTCTCAGGACCTGACCAGTGCTAAACCAGAGAATTTGCCCAACCACAGGAGGTCAATATTGTCTAGCAGAATTACCAACACTTCCACTGCTTACTGGGCTCCTACAAGATATTTAGGGGTAAATAAGAGCTAAACAACAGCGCAGAGCACTGAGCCAAGACTGGTGGCTGTAAAACAAACTTTATGAGACCACAGGAAACTTGGCCACATCCATGATATGTGGATATCCAGCTAACTAAAAACATGGACCTTTGCTCTAACCCAGTATGATCATTCTTATGCTGGATCATGGATGTTGCTGGACCAGAGAGTTTCTACCTGTAGTCTTGTGCATAGTGCTTCACAGACACACAAGATTACAAGTTTCCTGACCTAAGAGAGAAAATTCAGAGAACAAGAGGTGCTCATGGGCAGAAAACTTCAACATGCAGTTAGAATTAAAAAAGTTCTCTACTCACTGTTTGTTCCTTCTTTTGATTATCTGTTGGTATTAAGACCCATTCAATATCTAGTGGGCCTTGATCTTCTGGTGCAAGTGTGAACGTACAGGGCAATGTAACTTTCTCTCCTTGAGCTTTTTCAATCGGAGGCTGGTTAGCTGAAGTTATTTCTAGGCCTTTTGTTAAACCTAGAAAAAAAGTGGTGGTATAAACAAGGGCTAAAACCTTACTAACTCAGCAAACAGTAACTCAGATCTATGGATAAATATTTGGCTTTTATGATAAACTTTTGATTAGACCTTGGCCAATATTTTCGAAAGTTTGTTGGCCAGTGATGAGTATCTGACAGCGCCCTTTTATTGTAGTGGGAATTTCTTGGAGCCCAGCAATCTTTGAAAGTCAGCATGCCTACACACATGCGTAACTGGAGGCACTCACTTTTGAAAATCTTAGCCATAATATATGGTTAAGTGTACAAAACTGGAATTGTCTACCATCAAAATTTTTAGAAGATCCTACTTAAATCATCAATTCCTGTGCAATACCATGTTACTGAACAATGCAGCAAACTGAATATAATGTTAATCAGTAAACCTGGGAGTCCTATATAAATATTCACATGAATCAGGAAAAGTTACACCCTTCCTCGTTTTCCATCTCCAACATACACACACCCTGGCTTGATGCAACAGAAGTCCTACACTACAGGAAGCATACATACCATAACTAAAACTTTGACAATGATTTGTTCATGTCAACAGTTAAATTACTTGTCCTTGAGGCATACAGATCATTCTTCTTTAAAGGAATAGGTGGGTTAATCTTTTCTCAAATTCCTACTGAGATTTTAGATTTAATTTTGTGGCAGCCTTTTCTCCTGGAAAAATCAGCATAATCCTCATTTGCATGGTACGCTCAAAGAACAATATGTTTCTAAGCGACAGATTCTGTTCAATCCAATACTTCAGAGATAAACTATACAATGACCAAATAGGATTTACTTCAAAAAGGATTTATGCAAGAGTCTGGAAGCTATTTTAAATCCACAATACATGTTCATATGTTTTACAGAAAAAAAAATCATCACACTGTTTCAGAATCAGGAAATATTGAAAGAGGAACATTTCTCTATATAAACTACAAGTTGAACTAGAAAGATATTTGACATTTTTTAATCTATTGTTGGATGTGAACATCTTGCTGAAAGTCAATATTTATGACAGATTAGTAGGTTAAATGGTTTAAAATAATTTATTGGAAGTGGTAAAACTAATATTCTGAAGTTAAATCTCAACAGGAACATCTGAATCTCTCCATTCTGTCTTAGGTAAAATTTGCTTCCAAAACTGAAGTAAATCTACTTTCCAAGATTTCTCAAAAAACCCCACAAAACACAAAAAATCCCCTCTCCTGCCAGACAAAAATAAAATAAAACAAACGAACAAAACCCACACACGCAGGAAATAAGACAGCCAAAGGAACTTCATCTCAGCTCTGGACTGAAATTCAAGAGTGGAATATTGCCCATCACAAAAGATTCCTATACTGACCCAGAAATAACAGTAGCAAGCACATTTGGCATTAAGAGGCTTTTGGAGGAAGTTTATTGCTACTAAATAATCCTTAGGGTTGTTTTAAAAGAAAAAGAAAAGAAAAAAATAACCTATGCAGAGTCAGACTTTAAAAATGAATTTAGAAGAGCCACCAATTGTCATGAAGTTACATAGCAACAGTAGTCTATATTAAGGACTTCACAGTACCTTCAGTCGTTCAAAAAGCAAATTAACAGACTTCTAACTCAGTAACAGGCTAGCGAAGCTGTCTCCATCCTCCCTTCATTCCTCCCCCTTTCTAGAACCATCATCTAAAAGGTCTACTCTGGCGGAGAAAATCAATGCAAGATATGCAACTCCGGTTATGCAACTCCGGTTATGAGAACTGTGTAGCTGGAATGGACATAACATCAATTTTCTAGGGCAGTCCCACAGCAGGAAGTCGACAGAGAAACACTACCTTCAACTTCCCTTGCACCTCATAAAAGCAACAAGCACTGTGGTCAATGGGGGTGCTCTGAGCATTCAATTTTGTAGGTCTTTACTAGATAAGTGAGACAATACCTGAGTGAGAGTAATGAGATTCCTCAAGTCTGTCTTCTAGCTACAGTCCAAACTTTGGATTTGGATTGCTTTCAACAATAACATAAGAATGGCCGTACTGGGTCAGTCCAAAGGTCCATCTAGCCCAGTAGCCTGTCTACTGACAGTGGCCAGCACCGGGTGCCCCAGAGGGGGTGGACCAAAGACAATGATCAAGCGATTTGTCTCCTGCCATTCTTCTCCAGCCTCTGACAAACCGAGGCCAGGGACACCATTTCTATCCCCTGGGTAATAGCCTTTTATGGACCTAACCTCCATGAAATTATCTACCTTCTCTTTAAACTCTGTTATAGTCCTAGCCTTCACAGCCTCCTCTGGCAAGGAGTTCCACAGGTTGACTATGCGCTGTGTGAAGAACTTTCTTTTATTAGTTTTAAACCTAAAACTGAAAGATATAGTAAAAATTGAGATTATACATCAGTAACTGAAGATAAAATCCATGACACAAATATTGCAGCTATTCCCAAAAAATCAAGTATTCTAAAATCCATGTAGTTTAGAGTTCACTTCCTAGAAGAAACACAAACATGCTAAGGGATAAAAATGCACATCCAATAATCATGAGTATAGAATTTTAGATCCAGATAAGATTTTTTTTTTCATTTTGCCCCTTTTTTGGGCCCTCAGAGAAATGGTGGAAGCACAGTCAGATCACTGAAGCTTTTTCCTTGTCTGATTGTACCTAGGCCAGCTAGGTTGCTAAAGAATGCATCCTTTGTAGGACAAATACAACAAGAACTTTTCATTCCTGACAAAGTATGTCCACTCTACATAGCTTTTAGTGACAAGGCTGTGACATTAAGGCATGTCTACACAGGCAAGTTTTGTTGCCAAAAACCCCTTTTTGGTGACAAAACCTGAAAAGCATTTACATTGTAACATGACAAAAGTTACAAAAAAAGCCCAGTTTTCGTCACAAAAAACTTCCACCTCCTTAAGTGACTTTTGTCAACAGTAAAGGGAAGAGGAGGGACAATCATCCAGCGTGTACTACAGGAGGCTTTTTTTTTTTAAAAAAAAAAAGTTCAATTAACTTAGCCACTCTGCTCCACGCTTTGAATTCTGCTGCTCTATAGCTAGGTGAACAGAAATGCATAAAGTTCAATTAATTTAGCCACTCTGCTCCATGCTTTGATTTCTGCTGCTCTATAGCTAGGTGAACAGAAATGCACCTTGCCCCTGCAAGCCCCAGGAACTCCTGGTGTCTGGCTCATTATGTAGACATCCTTATGGCATCTTCTCAAGGAAACAGGGTTGGCTATCACTGAAGATACTCTCCGGCTTGGAGCACCCCAGAGCTTTTTGATCTTATTAGTGTGTGGGGTGAAGAATTGGTGCAATCACAACTGCAAATGACCTATAGGAAGTGGGACATGTATGGTCACATTTCTCAATCCCTGTGTGACAAGGGGGAAGAATGAGATGCTCTACAATGCAGAGCCAAAATAAAGTTACTATAAGGTCAAGGAGGCAAATTGCTGGTCTGGTGCTGCTCCCAAGACATGTTGTTTTTATAAGGAACTAGACACAATCCTGGGTGAGAACCCCACACCCACAACCAAGAAAACCTGTGAATATTTCCCAAGGCATAGTCTCAGCAGAAATAGGACTTAACCTGGAGGAAAAAGCCCTGGATGAAGATATAAAGATGGATGAGGATGAAGGGCTCCCTGTGGGGTCACCTGATGTGACAAGCAACCAGAAACTGTTCAAGTGTCTAAGCAGAAGCTGAATGTGGAGCATGAAGCAAGGGACAATATGTGGAGTCCTCTGGCCACCTTGCCTAGAAGCCAGATGTGCTGGCCACTTTTGGGGCACAGGGCAGAGCCAGGACAGATAGGGACTGGCTTGTCTTAGCCACGCAGCACCGCAGACCTGACTTTTAATGACCCAGTTGGTAGTGCTGACCAGAGCCACCAGGGACTAGGGATGTAAAACCCCATTCGGTTAACTGGTTTTGTTAACCGTTTTGCCCATCCTTGGACTGGAATGCGCTCCCCCCTCCCCTGCAGGCAAGGACTGCTCCAGCTCCACCAGAGCAGTCACACAGATTAAACCCTCACATCCCTACCAGGAATCCTTTTCAACTGGTCATTCTGTGCAAAACCAGATACCTGGCAACCCTAGAGAGGTAAAGAGACAACCTAGAGACCAGCGACTTAGGGGACATAAGAATACAGCACCCTTTGAGTGTCTCAACATGAAAAGCAAGAAATGCTGGTAACTTAATGCAAACAGGAAAACTGCTTAGGCAATGACTGTAGCTTGCTAGCCTTAAGGTTTAGTCAATAAGAGGCATGTTTTGGTTTGTTTTATTTGTAACCTTATTGTCTCGTTTATTCTCATATAGTATCACTTAAATCTCCATTCTTTGTTGTTAAACTTATTCTTGTTTTATTACAAACCAGTATGAGTGCTGTGTATTCATAGTCGAAGTTGAATCCCCAGCTACGCTAACAAGCTAATTCACACATGTCCTCTATGGAGGCAGTGAACTTAATTTCTGAGAGTGTCCAGTGAGAGGGACTGGATGCTATGTATGAAGCTGTCTCTGGCAATTCAGGGTACATTGACTGTTACCTGAAAGGCTAGGTTTGGACCGGCAGACTACTTAAGCCAGGCCAGGGCAAAATACAGCCCATGGGCCAGATCCAGCCTGCCAAGTCACCAGATCTGGCCCACGGAGGCAGTGGGGCACCCCAGGCAGGCTTCCATTTGCCCCGCAGGCCTCTCAGTACAGCAGCTGCTGAGCACTTTCTCTTTGAATCCAGAGGGGAAGATTCAGATGCTGTTCTTTCCTCCCCATCATAATACCATTAGTCAGTTTCTGGAAACTGGCCAATGGGCGCTTCCTGTTTCAGTAACAGGCAGCCACGAAGCACAAGTCTCCTGCTCAGTTACTCAAGCACATGGCCAAGCAGGCAGAAACATTAAGCTCTGCAAGCCTTTAGCTCTGGAGACAGGATGGTTTGGCTGTTGGCTGGTAAGTCTCCTGACCAAAACCTGCCTCTGGCACCCCAGTCCCCCCCCCC